CATGGTTACTGACTGTTGCCTAGTATACTGGTTGCAGTCATCAGGAGCCTTGGCATCAAATCTGCGGACTCAACTTTCTTGTGAGGAAGGGGCTATTTTCCCTCCTCTGGAAAGGGGATTCAGTATCAAAGAGTCCCAAAGATGTCTCAAGCAAACAGAGAAGTCTGGGGAAGACTAATAAGTAAGATCCCATTAGCCACTTTCCTAACTTAAGAACTACATTTTTCTAACCCTAACCCTAAACCTAAACCTAATCCCTAACCCCTAAACCTAATCCTAACCCCTAGCCCCTAAACATAACCCTAACACTAACCCTGAGTGCTTAGGGTAGGGTTAGCAAATCCTGGTTCTAAGAACTAGACATGCTTCTGGCATTCATTGCTGAGAAGATTTCGTCCAGACTGGGACAGTTTTCCTCCACTCTCTTCTTGAGGATATCTGGAGCACTCTAGTGGAGATGCAAGCCTTTGGGGGGATCATCTGGAATATTGTGATCTGCCCTGACCTCCAGACAACCAGTGAGGATGCAGAGTCAATACCTAGCTTCCAGGTCAAGGTTGTGAGAGGCCAGGAGAGGGCCTGGGCGCACAGCACACATCCTCTTTGGCATCACATCTCTGTACATGTGTGACACACATCCACCTCAGTGACTCCCATTTGGCTGCTAGATGCCTCTAACACGAGATGAATGCTTTTCCATAGCTTCTGAGTGAAAGGAGCTTAGAGTTCGGCAATCAGAGAATCCCGCTTCTTTCTCCATATAGGAAACTCATTGCAATGCTTCTGGCCAGAGGTCATCCGGTTCCTGCTTGAACTCCTCCATCAGCAAGAAGCTCACTACACACAAGGGCAGATGAATCTGTGGAGGGACTCTGTCTCAGCTGAAGCCTGCATCTTGTTCATCACCTGCCTCTCTGTCTTAGCTCTCTCTAGGAGCTGGAATAAATGATAAACATTTGTCTCCATGGTAGCACTCCAAATATTTGAAAAGAACCGACAGTGCCTCTCCCCCAGTATCTCTTCTTGACAAAAAAAGCTTCATTCTCTCATAAGATATGGTTTCCAGACTTGCCTCTGTCCTGATGGCCCTTCCTGTGGGTGACCTAGTTAAGAGATGGACCCAGAACCGAACCAGTGACACAGAAAGTCTGTGTTGTAGTTCATAGTCACCAGATAGCACTACTGCTTTACAGTGAGCTTTTAGTCAATCAGCATTTGCAGAAATTAAAAAAAAATAGCAGTGCCTTTCACTCACCCCCTCCACCCCGTGACTGCGCTCTTGAGCCTGATATCGTTCCCCATATTGGATATCGTATTGTTCAATTGGATATTGAATTGTATAGTGAAAATCCCTGACCCCTAAATAGAACACAACCTTACATTTTGAGTAGATAACTGTCATATCTGAGACCAATTACTTCAAGTTAATATAGCTTTCCTAAATCTACATTTTATAATTTTATATTCCAGCAGCTCCTCCTAGTTTGATATTTTTCAATCATTTTTTCGGTCTACATGTTTTTGCTTTCAGGCACGTTGCTCAGGCAGGATGCACAGACAGGAACAGCGAGGCGTGGAGCACACCACTAGAGACTGTCCACTGCGTTCACACAAAACTAGTCACCATCTCAGCTCGGGCATAGTGTCCAATAATACCTAATCTAACTGCGTTTCCACCAAAGCTATGTCTCATCCACTCACCCACAATGATTTAATAGGGGCTATTTCTTTAGTCAAGAGGAATGCTTCCATGACTTCAACTATTGACATGAGGCATTTGGAGAAACTTCCCAGCATCCCACAGGCATCCCATGTAGGTGGTCTGGGCAGTTCCTGGTCAGGCCAGAGCTATGTGTAAGCATGAGCTGTAACCATGAAACCCAGCGTGCAGGAATCTTCTTGCAACTCAAGGGCTCTCCTAAGGCATCTTGTAGGGCCGACATGACCTACTTTCAGTGGGTATGGAAGGGAGGTCCCAGAAGACAGCTCATTAACTGAAGGTTCCTGTGTGCCTGTGGCTGGACAAGGAAGCCTCACCCTGGCTTATGTCACCGAGCTGGTCTGCCCAAGGGGAGGCCTTTTAGGAAACGTGCAGTTCAAAGCCTGTGCCTGTCATCTAGTCTTTCGTGTCAGATGTCTGCTCGGTAGCCCTCTGGGTGACTGAATTCACCAGGATCTGTGCCCTTGGCTTTGGCATGATGCTCTGGCTGTTCTCGTGACACACACGTGGTCCTGTTCAGCCACTAAGGATTATATTTTCTTTCCGATGGGAGTCCTCAGATCATGGTGGATACGACTTCCCCCAACAAATGTCAAAGGTGAACACTGCGCTGCTCATCTTAGACTCTCAGCATTTCCAGAATAAAAAAGTACTTCCCAACATATTTTCTTTTTTGTCAGACTGTTTACCCCTGTTCCATTTCATTGGGGCTTCTGCTTTGGATGTAACACGTTTAATGGCTGGGAGTGGATCTCAGCTGGTAAAATGACTAGCGCTGTGAAGCCCTGGGGTTGGGTCTCTAGCATCATATAAACCCAATATGGTAGTGCGTGCCTGGGATCCTAACACCAGGAGATGGAGGAAGGAGAATCCGAAATGGAAGGTTCTCATTCTTGGCTACACTTTGAGTTTCGGGTCAATTCTGGATACCTGAGATCTTGCACACACCCCAAATTAAGTAAAATAAATAAATAAGTGAATAAAGTATGTTACATCTTAGCTGCCCTCCATATACTAAATATTGTAACTAGTACACTGTAGGAAGTCAGCGAGCATTACTTATGGAAGTGCTGCTCACATGGTCCCCTTTCCAGGATTATTTATTGTTGTTATTGTTATTATTATGTTGTTATTTTGCTAGCAGGAGATGAATCTTATTCTCTCACAACCCCAAATTGACTGATATTTTGCTCTTTTTCCCTTCGCTGGCAATATCTTCTTAGCCACAGATTCCGGGCCTTTCTTCTCTCAACACTCCAAGTGGATAGTCTTGATTCTAGCTGAGTGCAAGGCCACAGAAGATGCCATAAATAAGCTCAGTGTCTACAGAAGCAGGGCAATGCCATGGAGGACTGAATGGCTGCTCTGTGTGCTTCTCTTCACAGTATAGTTTAATACTTGATCTTGGAGGCATCTCTGCCTAAGGGAACAGCAATCTCTGGTATCCATTGCTAGGAATAAGGACATTCAGAAGTGGGAAATTTGTTCACATTTGGTGCATCCGTGTGTCAGATACAACGATGATTAAGACGTAGCTTCTGCCTTCCAGGAGCTTCTGGTCTTGTCAGAGAGCAGAGCCACATACAAGTGGGTGCTGTTTCCTTAGGGATGTAGAGTAGTGGGCATGGAGATTTCTGGGACTCTGGGTTGCACAAGCCCATTCTCTTCTACGTCAATCCCATGAGAAAACAAAAGTTCGTGACTGGTATTCAGTCCCTGAACTGCACTGTCTCCGTGGCACTCTTGTTATGAATGAATGACCATGTTTGAAGATGACCACTAAAAGTGGCCTCACACTCTAGCCAAGGGGAGGACGGGAACTCATTCACTCTCCATGCAGGTTGGGCCAGGACCCAGTGTGTATTGTATACCATGTGCTTTCAGGGCACAGGAAAGAGGAGCAGGGCAGTGGGAGTCATGGAAAGGTAACATCTAGGGCACAGTCTGGGGCCATCACCTGGAGCCTAAGTGGGAGTGATTTCACGTCTTTTTTTCTTTTTAAGATGGCTCAGCTGTTAAGAGCACTTGCTGCTCTTTCAGAAGACTGAGTCAACCCCCAGAACCTACATGGCAGCTCACAACCATTTGTGCTCTCTTCTGGCCTCCTTGAGCACCAGGTACATATGTGGTACAGAGACATACATGTAAGCAAAACACCCATACACATCATGGTATCTGCTTTCCAAAAATCCTTCAACTTTCCCTGACGTCAAATCTAGCTGGTAGTAATCCCCGTATATACCTAGTACTCAACAAATAGGCAAGACATATTATATGCAAAAAAAAGAAAGAAAATACGTCACTATTTGAGAGCACGCAGAGGCTGAGAATACACAGTTGTTTGTGTTTTAACAAAAAAAGCTTGCCTGAAGATCAGAGTGTTGAACTAAACCCCCTAGAGGCCAGGCAGTGGTGGCACACACCTTTAATCCCAGGACTTGGGAGAGAGAGGCAGATGGATCTGTCAGTTCAAGGCCACCCTGGGCTACACAAAATTGTTCCAGTGTAAAAGAGAAACAGAGCTCACACAAAGGTCATCCCAGCACTTGGGATCCCATGCCTTTAATCCCAGTACAAGGGAGGTGGAGACAGGAGTGATATGGCTGGGTGGAGAGAGGAATATAAGGCAGGAGGAGACAGGATCATTGTAGTCTAAGTAGCAATTCAGTCTGAGGCAGTCATGCTAGTGGTGTGGGACAATTGTCTATATTCTGTCAATTATGTTTTAAATAAATGCTGATTGGCCAGTAGCCCGGCAGGAAGTATAGACGGGACAACCAGATAGGAAATAGAGACGGGTCAATGAGAACAGAGAATTCTGGGAAGGAGGAAGCCCATTCCTCCAGCAGTCCTGTCCCCACCACAGAAGGAAGATGTGATTGCCCCGCTGAAAAAGGTACCGATCCATGTGGCTAACATAAATAAGAATAATGGACTAATCTAAGAGTTAATAAGAAGCCTGAGCTAATGGGCCAATCAGCTTATCATTAATATAGACCTCTGTGTGATTTCTTTGGGGCTAAATGGCTGTGGGACCTGGTGGGAGGACAGAAACCCAGACAACAGACTGGGGATGCAGTCTGAAGACAGGATTGCCCCTTTAGTTTCAACATTGGTAGAGGTACTCTCTAGTGGTTGGCTGCTCTGTTTCTCTGATCCTTCAGCTTTCACCTCCTATAGATAATTCTGAGATTTTATTATTAGACCAATTAGAATTCATGCTACAGGTTCCGGATTCCATGCTCACAACAGTACAAAAAGAAAAGAACATAGAGCTTACCTCTATTTGGTTGATCAATGAGTTGTCAAATTTGAACCCAGGGATCCTCTTGTCACTACACACCACGCCCACATCCTCTGTGTGTTTGCAGTCTGTCACACCCCAGCCATTGGAGGAGCAGGCTGCCAGGGTTGCTTCTTTGCCAGTGCAGTGGACATTGTCCAGCCAGATGGGCCCTGAAGGAAGCAGAGGTTGTTAATGTGCTTCCAGGTGGCAAGGGTACTAGCGCCTTACACAGAATTCCACCCCAAATTTGGCAAGTGTGTGTAGCTGTCAATTAATTTTTGTTACATGAGATTGTCACACCTAATCTTAGATCACTGGGATTCCCTTGCTAGGACAGGCAGTTGATGTGATCTGAGGAGGTGGTGGTTTGAGCACAATTAGGACAGAAATCATATTCAATCCTGGAAGTCGTGTGGTATATCAGTTACCTTTCTCAATGTGTGATAAAACGCCCGACAGAGACATAAAGAAGAAGGGTTTACATTGGCTCGTGGTTGACAAAGGGACACAGCCGATCATGGCGGGATGACATCAAGAAGTGAGGCCAGGCAGTAGTGGTGCATGTCTTTAATCTCAGCACTCAGGAGGCAGAGGTAGGCGGATCTCTGTGAGTTCAAGGCCAACCTGGTCTACAGAGTGAGCTCCAAGACAGTCAGGACTACACAGAGAAACCCTGTCTTGAAAAACCAAAAAGAAGGAGGAGTAGGAGGAAGAAGGAAGAAGAGAAGAAGAAGAAGAAGAAGAAGAAGAAGAAGAAGAAGAGGAGGAGGAGGAGGACGAGGAAGAAGAAGAAGAAGAAGAAGAAGAAGAAGAAGAAGAAGAAGAAGAAGAAGAAGAAGAAGAAGAGATAACATACTGTGTCCCACAGTCAGGACGCAGAGAGGGGTGAATTCTAGCACTTAGCTGGCTTCCTTGTTTTCCTCCTTTTTGTTCAGTTTGGGACTCTAGATGGTACCACCCACACTCAGGGTGGGTCTTCCTTCCTCAGTTAAGTCTCTATGGCAACCTCTTGATAGGCACACACAGAAGTGAGTCTCCTAGAAGATTTCAAATCAGGTCAACTTGACATGAAGTTTAGCTTTATTTATTAATTATTATTATTATTGTGTGTACATGATGGGTGTGTGGGGGTGGGGCACAAGCCACAGCGAGAAAGTGCGGAGGTCAGAGAGCAATTCGGTGGAGCTGGATCTCTCCTTCCTGGTTGATACGAGCCTCAGGGGTCCAGTTCACGTGACCTTTACCCACTGAGCTACCTCACCAGTCTGACCATGTAATTTAGCCACCCTGAGCGGTACAAAAGAACAGGGGCTTTTGTGGAGAGCAGAGGAAGCCCTGGGTTAATGTGTGAGGAGTTGTCTAAATTACTTTTCGATTGCTGTGACAAAACACCAATAACCAAGGCCACTTAGGAAAGAAAGCGTTTAATTAGGGCTCATGGATCCAGAGGGTTGGAGTCCGCAACTACCACGGTAGGAGCACGGTGGCAGGCAGGCGTGACGCTGGAGCGGTAACTGAGAGATCACATCTAAAGACACAGCCACAAGGCAGGGTGAGTGGGGTGGCAAGTGCTTTGGAAACCACAAAGCCGGCCCCCAGTGACACAGTTCCTCCGACAAGGCCACACCTCCCCCATCCTTCGCAAATAATTTCTTCCCAAGAAGTTCCACCAACAAGCATTCAAATATATGAGCCTTCGGGGGGGGGGGGGGAGATGGGACAGGGGCCACACCACCATAGAAGCAGAGGAAAGCCTCAGACCCCGTGAGAACCAGCGAAGCCTTCCTCTGGTTTACAAGTGACTGTTAACAGGATGCGCATGCGCAAAAACTAGCACCAGCAGCTTCCCTCTCCCAGATGATTGTAATCTGAGACTGATTGCTCTCCTGCAGAGACCTCCTACCAAGACTGCCTAACCCTTCCTTTTGGACTGTACGTAACGCAGGGTCAGGAGTTCTGGGTTGCTGCTGTAATTGGTGCTGCTCCACAGAACCAGCACAGCCCACCCAATCTCAGCTTTTCCGTCTGTGTGTCTGTGCGTCTTCTGTCCTCTCCTTCATTCCCTTGAAACCCCAACCAGGTTTCCCCGGGGACCAAGCCATGCTGGATGCAATAGGCTTTGGAGACTAACCTGAGTTGGAATTCTGGTTCAGTCTCTATTAGCTTTGAACCCCCTGTCAAAGCCCTGTTCCCATCAGCAAAATGGAGACAGCAAGTGAGACAAATAGAGACAACATGCGAACCGCAGAGGAGTGGGGTGGCTAGAGGCAGCTCATGGCTGCTCTATAGTGAAAACGGGGGCAATGACAAGGATGTGGGTTCAGTTATACCCGTAACACAAGTCAGCCTCGCCTGCCTCTGCAAAAGGGGCAGCTGTCATCCCATCCACTCTGTCAGCAAGGGTTTGCTGGCTTTAGGGCACCTCCACATGTATCACCACCTGGGGGAGACCGAAGTAACACTCTTCCCAGACAGAGAAGCCTGGTTCAGAGAGGTCAGCCTCTGGGCACCAAGTCATAGCCTATGAGTCGGTTCCCCAATTAGCGCCTTCTCAAGTCCTCTTTTTCTCCATACCTGGTCAGGGACAGGCCATCACACACGTACTTCTGCCTCCTAAGTGCTGGTTTTAAAGACGTGCACTACCAGTCTGGCTTATGCCTTTGTATCTCGACAGACAGAAGACAGGGAATTGACTGGAAGTGTGGTTACACTATATAATGTTAAGGCCCTCCCCCAGCGACTCTCTTCCTCCCGTCAAGGCCCCACCTCCAAAAAATTTCCCAGCCTTCTAAAGCAGTGCCATCAGCTGGAGAACCAAGTGTTCAAATACAGGAGCCTGCTGAGGACATCTCACCACCACCCCGATGGCATGAGATGGCATCTCATGGTTAACCCTCTGGTATTTTGCACTCAGAATTTTCTCCTAGTGCAAAGAACAGGAGGCTGGCCACGTTCCACAATGACCTTGCTGTAGTGGGGGTCAGTGCTGGATAGGACCCTGAGCCCTATACATGCTAGACAACTGCTCTACCACAAGCTATGTCCTCAGCCTCCAAACTTTGAAGATATCCTAGGATTCAGAATTCCAAAACTGAAGTCAGATGTAGTGGGATACAGCTGTAATTAAAGCTACTGAGGAGACCGAGGCGAGGGAATCACAAGTTTGAGCCAACTAGGTTGCACAGTGAGATCCACCAAGTCAGTCTGCACAATTTATTGAGACCCTGTCTCTAAATCTAGAAGAAACAAAAATTACAGATGTACTCAGACCTGTGTCTGAAATCATAGCACTCCAAAGACTAAGAACAACTGCCTGGAGTTTGAGGCTAGACTGGGCTACACAGTGAGTTCCAGTCTAGCCTGGGCTCAGAATGAGACCTTGTCTCAACAAAGAAATAAATAAATTTAAAAGGCTGGGGCAGTAGCTCAGTGACAAGGTGCTTGTCTAGTATCTACAAGGCCTCAGCACAAGAAAGGAAGGAAGGGACAGAAGGAGAGACAGAGGGAGGGGAAGGAAGGAGGGACAGACATTGAAAATAAGGCCTTGGGGGAGGTGTTTGCACACCCACATTTACAGAAGCGTAATTCACAAATGCCAAGAGATCGAAGCAGCGGACATCTGTTGACAAACTGCATACATATAAGGGAAAACTGTAGGAGGGAAAACTCTGACACATACTGCAACATACTTCAGGCCTTGAGAACATTCTGCTAAGTGGGAAAAGCTGGTCACAAAAGACCAAATACGGAAAGATTTCTACCTAGACTTCTGAAATTCTGAGAAACCGAGTAGAATAGGAATTGCCAGGGGTGGTGAGGAGGATGGGAGGTGGTTATTTAATGGGCCCAGAGTTTCTGTTTTGCAAGATGTTTAGGGACTTGGTCGCATGACAATGGGAAAATACTTAACACTACTGAAGTGTATATGCACTTCAAAAGGTTAGGGTATAAATGGTCTTATGTATATTTTACTGCAATAAACAATAAAACTCTAAAAAAGATGCCAGATGGTTTCAAATAGCATGTGTGTGTGTGTGTGGGGGGGGTATATCTACATAGACAGGCATCAAATGGCACATATGTGTGCATATACATGCCTGGAAGCCAAACTTGGTATTAGCATGCCTTCCTCTATTGATCTCTACCTCAATTTTTGAGACAGGGTCACTTCCCTGAACCTGGACAGTTGAGCTAGGCTGACTTGGCCCAACACCTTAATGGATGGGACTGTCCCTGTGCCCCTGCATAGGGGTTACATAAGCACAGCCTTCATGTTTGGATGGGAGTGGCCCTGCTCCCCTGTGCCGGGGGTACATAGACACAGCCTTCATGTGTATGCTGGGGATTCTCAGGCTTGCACAGCAAGCACTTTGTCCCCCAAACATTACAAAACCAAACAACCACATCTGTTATTTTCCCACAGGTCCTTTTAGAGGCCTACGAAACAGAAGAGGCGAACAAACCTGTGTTTATGTCCTATCTGCCACGGGCTTGGGGGACCTGTGACTGAGTCAGCGATTGAAACAAACCTTGTCCCCGTTTCTAAAGTCAAAGTGATATCCAACAGACAGGCTGCCATGAAAATCCAGCAAGCTAATGAACAGGGCTGCAGATATATTCCATCCCCTTTTCCTTGTTCTAAATAAACAAGCCAATGTATTATATGGCTCCCATAGTGGGTGAAGGAGCCGATGAAAACACTCCCATTATAGATTAGAAAATCGATGTGTGAAGCTGAGGTTGTTCAAGGCCAAGGAGAACGTGGGGCCCGTCTCCTGACTTGCGAGCCTGGCTACAACATGTGTACTCTGATGCCTGGCTGGTTGGGGCTCAAAGGACAGAGCTCTGGACTCATTGTGGGAACAATGAGTTGATTGAAAACATCTGGACGGAGGTTTTCCAACCACTTTCTCAATCTGGGCTGGTTTCCAAGCCGTCAGGCTCCACTGAAACGCATGCTTACTAATAGACGGCTGTTTCTACAGCAAGCTCGTATTTGTTTTACCACGTACTAGCAACGGAAGGGCCCCTCCATCTTGCCAGCGAGGCTTCTCCCTCAGAACATTCCGAACTGAGCTGCTGAAGGGCAGATTGTGAAAAGAGGCAGTGCCCTCATTCCTTCTGTAGCCAAAGAAGCCACCCTCACTTGGGCGTGGAGGCTGACCAGAAA